TAGGGTTCCATAGCAGCCAGCCCCTATGCATGCAGCTGTAGGCGGCTTTGTCTTTTTGTTTGTTCTGTATAAATTTATTAATAGAATGAATAAACATAAAATTAGGGTTTGCTGCTGTTTTAATCGAATGTATATATGAAAGGCAGCGCAATAGTCGAGCCCCCGTCCCTCCCGGGCCTTCTTTGTCTTGAGGGTTTAGGGTTTAGGGTTTAGGGTTTAGGGTTTGTGTATGTTGATTTGCGTATGTGTGGTATAATTATGCTTTAATAAATTATATAATTGTTTTTTTTAGGGTTTAGGGTTTTATGCATCTCTATAGAAAGCTACGGCGCCCATTCTTCACCATTAGGGTTTAGGGTTTAGGGTTTAGGGTTTAGGGTTTGGGATGTTGAGCCAATTATTCATTCTTTCACCCCGAGGTGACTGCTTAATAAGCAGAGACTTTCTTGGAGATGTACCGAGGGGTGCGTCTGAAGTATTTTTAAGACAAGTTCGTGTGTGGGGTCAGCAGCAGCAGCAAGATGCTGCAGCAGCAGAAGCAGCAGCAGCAGCAGCAGCAGCAGCAGCAGCAGGTACAACAGTATCTTCTGACGGAGACAGCACATCACTATGCGCTCTCTCTCCTTCCTCTTCATCTGCTGCAGCAGCAGCAGCAGCAGCAGCAGCAAGCACTGTAGCTCCGCCTATCTTTAGTGCAGGCGGTGTTTCGTTTGCGCATATCAACAGAAACAATCTTTTCTTTGTTGCTGCTACACAACAAAATGTCTCTCCTGCTCTTCTTATAGAAATTCTTTTAAAGCTCGTCAAAGCCATCAAGGTAAACCCTAAACCCTAAACCCTAAACCCTATAACCTACGTACACATATTTCCTATGCAGCAGCAGCTTCTTGTTACGACTCTTGCTGCTGCTGCTGCTGCAGCTCTTGCTGCTGCTATTGCTTCCTTTCTGCTGCTGCATCCGCTGCTTCAGCTGCTGCTGCTGCAGGTGCTGCCGCTGCTCTGTAGCATAATCTGCTGCAGCATCATCCCCAGCAACTCATATTACCCCTGCTCCTTGTGCTGCTGCTGCTGCTGCTTCTGCTGCTGCCTCCGCTGCTGCTGCTTCTCTCGTTGCTTCTCTTTCTGCTGCTTCTGTTGCTGCTGTTGCTGTTGCTTTTCTTTCTGCTGCTGTTGCTTTTTTTTCTGCTGCTGTTGCCTTTCTTTCTGCTTCCCTTTCTGCTGCTGCTGCCCTTTCTGCTGCTGCTGCTGCTGCTGCTGCTGCTGCTGCTGCTGCTGCTTGTGAGATACAATGCAGGACTTCTGTGGGGTGTTGAACGAAGAAGTGCTGCGCCGCAATTTTGTGTTAGTCTACGAGATCGTTGACGAGGTTTGCGAGAAGGGGTACTTGCAACGAACAGCAACAGAAGACCTCAAAACTTTTATCTTCTCTCAGCCTGCTGCTGATGTTTCTTTAACTGATAAAACCGTAATGCATGCACTTCATGCTGCTCCTGATGCTGATGATTCTGATGATGCTGCTGATGATGCTGTTGCTGCTGCTGGGAATGGTGCTGCTGCTGCTGATGCTGCTGCTGTTGCTGCTGCTGCTGCAGTGGCTGCGCCTCCTGCAGCTTCTGCTGCTGTTTCTTTTGTAGCTGCTGCTGCCGCTGCTTCTTTTGCTACTGCATATGTGCCTTCTGCTGCTGCTGCTGCTGTTGCTGCTGCTGCTGCTGCTGCTGCAGCACGTATCTCTTCCTTCTTTTGTAACGACAAGCCCCAAGACCATGCCTTCGACTGCAAGCCGACGCCCGGTAGCAGCAGCAGCAGGAGGAGGAGGATTCAGCAGCAGCAGCGGGGGTGGTGGAGCAGGAGCAGCAGGAGCAGCAGCAGCAGCTCGTCGTCGCAGCGAGATATTTGTTGATGTTATTGAAAAGCTCTCTGCTGTTCTGTCTGGAGACGGCCGGCTGCTGCATGCATCGCTTGAGGGTTTTATACAAATGAAGTCTTACTTAGACTCCCCGCCTCTCTTAAAGCTAGCCCTTACAGATCAACTCCCTGTAGCAGCAAACGGTAAGCTAAACCCTAAACCCTAAACCCTAAACAACATACGATGATAAAATAAACACAAGAAAACCCTCTTCTAATCAATTATGTATTTCCTGTCAATAATATAATAATAATAATATAATAATAATAATATTAACAATAATAATAATATTATTAATAATAATATTATTTATTTATTAATTTATTTATTTATAGGCGTTGGTCTGTGCGCTGAGCGCTGCACGTAAATAAACAAAACAAAGCCCTATTATAATTAATTAAGAACATAATAATAATAATAATATTATTATTATTATTATTATTATTATTTATATATTTATTTATTTATTTATTTATAGGCGTTGGTCTGTGCGCTGAGCGCTGCACGTTTCAAGAAGGCGTCGACTTCTCTGCCTTTGAATCTGAGCGGCTTTTGTTGTTTAAACCTCCGGCCGGAGAATTTGTGCTGATGAACTACCGGATTAAAAATATTAACGTCATGCCTTTTAGGGTCTTTCCTCTTGTTGAAGAGCTCGCGCATTCAAAGGTACTAGCATCGCACCGATCGAGGGTTTAGGGTTTGCTTTAAGCGTTTATTCAGAGGGTTTAGGGTTTGATCCAACGGTTTATTCAGAGGGTTTAGGGTTTGATGCAACGGTTTATTCAGAGGGTTTAGGGTTTGCTTTAAGCGTTTATTCAGAGGGTTTAGGGTTTGCTCTAAGAGTTTATTCTTAGGGTTTATTTGTAGGGTTTAGGGTTTACTCTAAGAGTTTATTTTAAGGGTTAATTTATAGGGTTTGTTTAAAGGGTTTATTAGTGTTAATTAGGGTTAATTAGGGTTTATTAGGGTTTATTTATTGGGTGTATCAGGGTTTATTGTTGTAAATAGTTGTTGATTATTGTTAATTAGGGTTTATAAGGGTTTATTAGGGTTTATTAGAGTTTACTAGGATTTATTAGGCTTTGTTAGGGTTTATTAGGGTTTATAAGGGTTTATTAGGATTTATTAGGCTTTGTTAGGGTTTCTTAGGGTTTCTTAGGGTTTATTATGGTTTATTAGGGTTTAGGGTTTAGGGTTTAGGGTTTGTGTGCAGGCGGAGGTGATTCTGCGGATTCGCGCGG